AGGTGGGTCTGTCTTAAAGTTCTAAGTCAGAGATCCGAAAATAAGGTAGTACTAATATATTTTCGCTCGGTTAGAGAATTAATATATATAGGCACAGAGGGTTTAAATAGGTAACTCAGTAGAGTTATATGTATAGCAGCTAGTGTAGAACTTAGTAATAAGAGACTACTTAAATAGGCAACCAAAAGTTGCATATGTGGCTAGTTGTACTCTCCAAATTTATATATACTATAGTGTATACCATACTGTAAAAGTTAATAATAACCAAAAAAAGGACAGTGACCAAAAGGTCATCTTAAAACCAAAAAAAAAAATTATAAATACTACTATCTATAAGTTTAGAGTCATTGATTCTAAACCAAAAGTAGTGTTTTAAACTGTTTAACTAAAAGTTTAACTGGAGCTGATCTGAATAAACTTACAAGTATTTTCAGCCAATTGCTGATGTTTGTTTACATCAGGTAAAATAGAATTGACATATTCTATTTTATCTAATATAAACAAACATTAGCAATTGACTGAGAATATCCATAAGTCTCCCAAATCAGCTCTGGTTGAACTTTTGGTTAAATAGTTCAAAACACTAACCAAAAGTTAAAGATGTAGTGCTGAAGCTAGATGTCTTAAATATTTTTGATACTATAGATGTTGTGATTAAATATAGTGCTGTTCAGAGTAGTTGTAGCTAATTTAGCTTTGTGTTTAGCTATTATAAAGTATTGTAAAAGAATTAAATTACTTATTATTTAAGAAAGTACTATATTATGAATATGATATTTATAAATAGGAATAATAATATTATTTATTATATATACAGCCTGTTTATTTGTTATATTTTTGATTTTAAGTATTTTATTAAGCTGTAATATCTCTTGTTTAATAAGTTTAATTTGTTTTGTATATTATAAGATGACTGTAAACTAGTAGCTTAAGAATTTAAAAGAAGTGTATTGTAGTTGTATTTGAATATTAGAGTTTATAAAGTTGATATTGAGAGTAGAATTAGTATTAAAAACAAAAACTAACTTAAGTGAGTTAACTTTGATATTAGCTATTGTATAGAATAATAATGCTATATAAGTAATTATTATAGTTGTTTTGTTAACTTGACAATTCATAAAGTGTTATTCATATATTTCAAAACAGAAATGAAGGCAGTTAGAGATTGAAATCAAATAGAGTTAATTTGAGTAAGCCATTCTATTAAGAATGAGTATTCTGCATAATGTTTATATATATATAGCTAATAAGAGGATTATAATATATACACAATAGAAGTAATGTTATAATCTCTTCTTGATCAATACCATTTTGTATTGTATAAGAGGTGTTAGATCTAGATTTGTAATTATTTGATTAGTTTAATTTTGTAGAAGATTAGTAATGATGTTTATAAGCTGTATAGGTATATTAAGATATTGTAAAGCTTTAGTTAGAAGTTGTAAATTAATTGAGTTATAAGCTTTACTTATATCTTAAGATAATAGCCAAATCTGTTTGTTGCAACATTTAGTGTTTTTAATAAAGTTGTTTAATATATATAGAGTTGTTTGTAAAGTTTAGGAAGTGTAATATAATTGTATAGATTTAGTATTGTATATATATTAAAGATTGATACTACATAGTTGATTTATTAGAATCTTAGTATAAAGTTTTTGTTATGTTTAATTAAACTAATCAGTCTTGTGTTGTTAAAGATATCATCAACTTGTGTTTTTTTGGATATTGAAAAATTTTGCTATGTTTTTATTGTTTTAGAATATGTTATAATAAAATATATCTGTTAAAAAGTGCAATAAGAGATTGCAGCATATTTGTTCTAATATATTTAATCATTTATAGCTAATATCTAATGTATCACAGATTTTATTATTAGGTAGTTGTTGAATTGTGCTTAGAACTTCATCAATACTTATTTTTGTAAATGCAGAGCTATATCAATTTATATCAATGTTTAGATTAGATTAAAATTCTGTTTTCTATATCTGGTTAAAGATTTTTTTATTAAAAGGAAGATGTGCTGTCCAATTATCTAAGTGGTTACTGATATATTGTTTAATCTTCTTAAAGTTAGTGATAATATCTGTTGCAGTTTTAATATTATTAATATATATTGGATCTTTGTGTTGATTTAATATACTATTAATCATTTTAGTAGGTTGTGTTAAAAGTTAGTTACATCATTTATTGGTAGCAGATTTGATATAAGTATGTAAATGCTATACATTTTTGATGTTTCTTATATTATAAAGAGTTTTTTAATATATTTTAGTATTTTAACACATGTTATAAGATTATATAAATTTCTTATAGATAGTTTGATAGAGAATTCATATTTGTTATTAATTATTTTAATTAGGTATTGGATGTTACTTGGTAAGAGATTTGGTTAGAGAAATATTTTTTAATACAGTATATTATATAATCAATAATTTTAAGACCTTAATATAATTGTATAGCTTTTAGTATAAAGGTATATAAGAAGTTTTTTTTTATTCTTTGCAATATTACAAAAAAGAAATTTTTATTAGATATTTTAGTAGTACATTTTTGGTTAATGAGTATATATTTAGCCACATATACAACTTTTGGTTGTTTATTTAAGTAGTCCACCTGAAGGTTTTATAATATATGCTATACCTGTAACTTAACTAGGAGATTGTCTATTTAAACTCTCCGATATCCTCCTTCTGCTCTATTACTACAATTACCTTGTGTGCTTTAATTGAAGGCCACTCAGATCAATATATGCTATACTATTTGTGTACCAATTTTTTAGATAACCCAGTAAGATTTTCATACTACCAGGTTGCCTTAGAAGAGGTCAGTACATACCTCTCAAATCTTTCTATATCGTATACATTTTTAGATTAGGCTTTGAATACCTTTTGCAGCAGCTAAAACTACTGCTAACAGTTAAAGCTAACTATTAAACTGCACAATTTTAATATTTAGTACCCTTACAAGATTTATTCCAATTTTGATATCTGCATCAATCAGTCTTTATACTAATTTATTCCAAACTACCAAACTAGTTAGCCCATATGAGTCATTGTAGCTAGCTTTAAGTGTTTTCCAGTTTTACTTCTCTTGGTTTCTAATTCTATAGCATAGAACTTTTTCTCTGATATGACTCTAGCAGCCATGTTGGTAGACCCTTCTTGTTTCAAGGTTTTTATTCAGTTCTTCATTCTCTGGTTTCTAGCCATTCGCAGTATTATCAAAGATCTTCATTACTTCCTTGCTCAAGTCTTGCCAAATGGTTTCAATTATTCCAGTTTCTTGAATTTAGATTGCTCAAAAACTTCTATTTTGAGATTATAGTACAAGATTATATAAGATATACCTAATTGATCATCAAATAATTGTTACCAGTATACAGGCTTAATTTTTTAAAAATATTACTAGTAGAATTCAAACTCTAGAACTACTGCTTGGAGAGTAACAACTTAACTACTACTTTAAGTCACCACACTATAAAAAGTTTTTGAAAGTATACTTTTTGTTAAGAATATATTGAAATGTAGCATTGATGATACAAGTATAAATCTTATGCTATGTTGTTTCTAAACTTTCAGATGTATTTGTTATTATTAAAACTTTGTATTGGATCATGTAGATATTTACTTGCTCTCTAAAAATTTTTTAATTTTTTTTAGATATTGTTTTGTAGTTAAAGACTCTATCTTTACTTTTGCTTTTGTGTCTAGTTTAGATATAGCAAATAGAAAATTAAAATAGAAGAGAGAATATAATGATTACTATCTGTAGAATATAAGAGTTGACTAGTTAAAAGTTATATAAATATGGTATAAGCTTTTTACAAGCCTATATATAATCAATTTTAGTATAGTATCTGTAAATTGTTTGTATGATCAACTAAGTCATATATATTTGTATTATACAGATAATTAAGTAGTTGAAATTAAATAGCTGATAATACTGTAGTGTTATTATTTGCATTAAAATCTTCAAATACAATAGAATAGAGATTGGCCAGTCTGGTCTGTTATATCTATATTATAACTTTATAGTTGTATTATAGAAAAAAGATATACTGATATAATTCTAAGTTTATAGTTATATTTAAAATAAAGGTCTACTATAATAGCTCTATTAATGGGTATTCGTAGCCCAAATGTACTAAATTTAGTACATAAAAAAAAAATCGCTTTAAGTTATCTATAAAATATATTTTATTTAAAATTTGTAAAAATATTTTTTAAACCTAATTTAATATTTTTATAAACTTTTTATCAATAATTATAAATAAAAAATTTTTACAAATTAATTACAAACTATTGCTTTTTTATTAAAATTTTGCTGTACTAAATTTAGTACAATATAAAAAAATTTTATTTTTATAAACTATATAATAAAGTTATATAAAAAAAAAATTACAATTTATTTAAAACCTATTTATTACTTTGAAATATTTAAATTGCCAAAAAATGACTATTAGAACAGCTAATACATATTACCTTTGATCTATTACAAATATAATAGTATTTTGTTCTCTTGCTACAATATATACAACGTAATTGTGGATAAATTGTACCCTTTCCTTTTTTTTTTTTTGTTGGAAAAGTCAATAATTTGTGTAATGTCTCTGTTTCTCTTTTTCGTTTTTGAGATCTTGTATTTGGTATTAAAATTTTAGTTTTTGAAAAAATTTTACTAAGCATTTCATCTGCTAACAATCGCCTAAAATCAAAATGTGACATATGATTTCCTCCATTATTCCACTTTTTAAATGTTAAAAATGCGTTTGCTTCAGCAATTCCTAATAAAAAAGCATATACCCGCAGCTCCCAACTGGATCCACGCATAACATCATGAAATGATGTCATGTTATCACGTATCTAATAATTAATACCTTATTAGAATAAAAACATAAATTTACAAAATACTAATTCATATTACAGTATTATAATTATATTACTATAAAGATTATTATATAATATTATATTGCAGTATATCTATAATATAATACAGTAATATTACAACACTAACAATGCTACAATAAAAAAAATACACACTTGGTTATTAATATCGATGGCCCCTTTTGAACAAGAATATTCATAAAAGATTTTCGGTCTTGTGAATTTTACTAATAAAGAATTATTATGCTCTTTAACTACACGGTCTACTTCATCACCTATCATTGTAGTTGATGCACTTGCAATAATGCATTGTGGCTTTCGATCTTTCAAAGAAGCTGCAATTAAATATATATTATTAATCGTTGCAACCTTTGAAAAATAAGATCCATATGTGCTTCCAAGTTTTTGAACCATATCACGGGGATAATTGAGAGGCCACTCACGCCTTTTTTTAACATGAAAGATACCATATAGCCCATTTTGCATTAATTCTACACAAAGTTTTGGAGACCCAAACCAACTGTCACCAACTATAGTTCGGCCACTGCCAAACCATGGTTGTACTAAACGTAAAACATATGCAGTCGTACTACCATACTCTAAAACAAATCGTTTTTTTTTTTCTATTTCTTTATCTTCACAGGGCTCCAATTGAATAATAATATTTGTAGAACCATCTGCAACCGTTTTCCATTCTTATCCTACAGGATGTGGTTTACGTGGTATTTTACGACGACCTGGAATCTTATTTTTGCTACCTAACCACGAATTCATTGATTCATCAATGCACAATGTTTTCCCGGGCTTTATAGCCTCAATTAAGTTTTTATTGAATGCATTAATAAAACTACGAACAGGATACAATGGATCACTAAGATTTGGTGTCTTTAGTTCACATGCCATCATTAAGGTATGACATGATACTATTTGTTCAAATCGCGAAAGCGACATCCAACGTTGAAAATTAAAAGAATCCATTGGCTTTGTAATCTCTTGTGTTGTTCTCCAATAAAAATGACGATCAGCCACAGGAAAGGCAGACATCAACACCCATAAACCTAACCATCTCATATATTCGTCAAAATTTACATCAACCCAGTTTGAAGTTTCCCGCCCATGTATGTTAATAGAATTAATCACATGCTGTTTAATATAATTAACCGGAAGATAACGACACAGCAAATTAAATGGCGAGGCTAGACCAACAGATTCGATATTAACACTACAATCCTGATTATATGATGGATTAATTTCACGCTGGTCAATAGTTACAAATTGTTCTTTCCAGTTTACTGTAGTAGAAGGACCACTTGATTGACTTATATTATTATTTTCTTCGTTAACATCGTCATCATCCTCTTCTATACTGCTGTCACTATCATCAGACAATTCCGTAGGGACTATTGGTAATTCAACATTTGGTGGTAATTCTTTATCGTCTGGTTTTTCATATCTCAAATTACCCGCAAGAACATCAACTTCCATATTTTCAAAATTTTCTACATTGACCCGATATTTTAGACGCCCACCTTCATTTAACCCTCCAATAACTTTACCATACAAACGTTTGTTCTTCCAGTTACCACCACGATATTGTAAGTATTGTAGTACTACCTCCTTCGGCAATACTGATGACATTAAACTAACCCGCTCTCCAATAGTTATCTTACTCGAAATTCTTGGCATATTGTATAATTTGGCCAGGAATTTTTTTTTTTGTTCGGCTTTTTTTTTTTTTTTTGCCCAGGATTTTTCTTTAATGTTCGGATTTTTTTATGTCACTAATTCATTTATTGCTTCTTATACGACAGTGTTCTACTTCATTTATATCAACCAAATTATGATGATACGTATGCAAGTTTATATCAAAAAAAATTATGTGAAAAACAACTATCGATAAGCGAATATGTAACTATCTCAATTGCTTTTTACAGGACAAAGTCTTGGCAATCTAACTTTTTTTGGATCAGAGCTTTATCCTTATATATGTATTATTACTAATCTATACATCATTATTATTTTAAATCATATGATCATGATTACAATTACGATCATGATCACGATTGTGACCATGATCGTGATCGTGATCACGATCACGTAATATGTTATTTGGCTTATGACTCAATCTAATACTACAAATTTCAAAGGTAAGAATCTCGTAGATACATTGAACAAACAGTTTTATAAAATAAAAAATATTTTTTAAGTTTAGTATAAGCAGAATTTTTTAAAAAGTATAATTGAAGTTTTGTTAGCGAAGATGATCAAATGTAATAATACTTCCTAAAAAAAACTTGTTTATACACAATTAGCAAATGCACATAGTTATGAATTTATTATTACAATAAACTATATATATGTATCTACACTTTGTATAAATTTTATAGAGTTATTGGTAATTTTTTTTGTTCTATAATTTTTTAAAGGTTGTACTAAATTTAGTATTTTGTACTAAATTTAGTACACCTTACGGATACCCATTAATATATTTTAATTGCTTAATTAAATCTTCAAATATTTTTAAACTTGCCTCTATATTGTGGATGAATATAATATGCTAAAATATAAAGAGGATGTAAAAATTCTTGGTAATGCTTATTAAAAATATAAACTATTGAAGCTTTAAATGTATTGATTTCAGATAAACGTTTGATTACTGTAGCCAACTTAATTAAGTAGATAAAACAATTGGCTAGCATTGCATTATTAGCTTCAAGCATGTAAATAACTTCTTTAATAAGTTTCTATATTGAATGTACAAATCGATACATAGTAAAAAAATTTTTATCTTTTATTAAATTACTAATTTCTTGATTAGTAATTGCATTTTCATGCTCAGAAAGCATCTGTATAATAAAAAAATTTTTTTATTAAAAATAAAGATTTATAATAAAATAAAAATATAGATTAAATTATATTTTACCTAGTCAAATACAGGTCTTGCTCGAAGCATTGAATCGATAGTAAAATATAACGATCCCCAACGGGTTTTTATTCAAGTCTTTAGCCTACCACCTTTAATTTTTATATTTATAAATCCTTGAGTAAGTAATGAATGACTCAAATATGAATTCTTAAAAAAATTATTAATTTTTCCGCAATTACTAATTAATCTTTTTATATCATCTAATTTAACTAAATTAGCAGCAATGAAATTGATCGCATGTGCTGCGCATCTAACATTTCAAATATGTGGATATAAGTCTTGTATTTTTTGATATGCTACTCTGCAATTTGAGGCTGCATCTGTTACTACAGTTATAAACCTATCTGAACCAAACCTATCAATGACATCTAGTATTTTATTTGTCAAAAATTCACCCATATGAAATTGTGTGGAATAATTCTTTAGACTAATTAGATATTCTTTTTGAGTATCAGTAGTAACAATATAATTTTAAATAGATTCCATATTTGGTGTTGTTCACCCATTCAAGGCTTATATGTATATATAAATTTAATTAATTATATATATATTGTTTTTAAACATATATCTTTTAATTAATAAATAATAACGCTTACTTAATATTAAATGATCAGCATTATCTAGGTCATTATCAATTGCTTTGTTTATTCGTGCTAGTTCTTCGTTCAATAATCAGTTTGATAAAGTTGATCTTGATGGTAAATTATATGCAGATAGAAATTTCTTAAACATATCCTGTATAAACGGGTTTTCAATAACTTCAAAAGAAATTTCTGCCATTACCTATGCTTTAAGAATTTTTTGGTCAAGCTGATCAATTGAAGATTTTGGTAGTGGACGATTAGACATAAAATGAGTTGTTATGGCTGTTTGTGATATAGAAGTTAGAAGAACAGGATTTTTTGATTTACAAGCATAATTTGATGCTTTGTTAGCTAGTTTTTCCTTCCAGTATCGTGATATTTCCTCTGGACACTTTGAACACTCATTTGATAAGTGGGCTTCTAATTTAGCAAGCTTTTCTCTTCTCTAATATTCAGTACAATAATTATATGTTACCTCGTAATGTCTGTTGCTTTTTTGTATACCTTTTTTGAAATAGTCACCACTTCATCAAAAGATTTGGTTTTTTTTTTTTTTATTTGTTGAAAGCTGCAAGTTTGAAGTATTTGCTGTTACATTGTCTTTCTCTAACTCGGAACTAGATTCTACAAGAGAGTAAACTCTTTTTTGTAAATCTTTATCCACTTCTATAATAGCAAAGATATTAAAATATGTACGTATGTATAAAAGTAATGCAAAAAACCAGTATCGTCTAAAAGTTTTTTTTTTGTTTAAACTTAAATCAAGTAGACCTCTGAATTATATAACTCTAATGACCAAGAAAATAAATTTTATAATAACCAAACACATGCTAAATAACGGTAAATAAGCATATTACTTATTTTTATTATCACTATTTGGATTTAGATTTTTACTTGATATTAAACCTGAAAGTGAACCTAAAACCAGATATTGTTTAAATCTTTTTAAGAATAATTACAATAACTGAATACTGGAATATAATCGATATGATATCTGTTTTTTAAAATAAATTTATATACTTGATAGTAATTATCGCAGATTATGAAATTGGATTAAAATGAAACATGGGTTCCTATTTAACCTTCTAAAATCTACTTTTTTCTTGTTTAATATAAACTCTACTCTAAAACTAACGTTTAATCTTAATCTTTAACTCTAAAAAGATGCCTCAGAAATTTTTTTTCGATGGCTTTTATACTATGCATACATATTTCATTTTAATCTGATAAATTGTAAATAATGTGTATTTAAGGGATCTACTATTTCCACCATGAAAAATTGCTATTTCCACCATGGGTTACACAAAAAATATAAAAAATACTATTTTTAAATAACTAATCAAATTTAAAAATTAATTTTTTAATATTTAAAGAAGTTTTTTTAAGTTAGGATCTGTTGGGCTTCTAAGTAAATTTGTAGAGGAGATTTTTCTAGTTCTAATGGTAGTTAGATCATCAAAATCGGCCTGGTGGATCCCAAGATATTTGGAGTTAAAGGCGCGAATATAAGGATCTGCAAATTGATAGTTACACAAAGTACTAAATACTATAATACTTTGTGTAACCACCAATTTGCAGATCCCTATGTCAGGGACCTGCAATAATTTGGATATCAAATTGTAAAAATTTATTTGAGTATCGACCGAAATTTAGATAAATTTAGGATAAAAAATTTAAATAGTATCCAATATTTGAATAAAATTTGGATAAAAATTTAAATATTTGAAATTATTTGAACATCGATTATTTAAAAAAAATCATTATTAACCAATCAAAAATAAGATTATCGTATAACTCAAGACCCTGCTTTAAAATTTATTATTTACGTTGATTAAAATAAAGCATATTCAACATTTTTAAGGAATCTTCGCTT